TTTCGGAACAAGTTCACAAGTAGATGTTGGAGAGCATTTCTCACTTGTTCCGATGCTTGATCAATGGAGAAATGAATTAATGAAACAAATTACATTTAGCCTCTTCCCCGGTTACTGGTTCTATGATGGTTCAATAATGTTAAAGTGTCACTGAAAGCAAAGCAACAATTAATTGCATTTATATTGTGCCGCTCTTGTCACTGAGCACGTAAGAATGCAATTATATTTCCATTATTTTTCAGCCACAATCAGATCTAATGAGACTCACCTTCTTCGCTCCGAACTGACTGAGCCGCAGTTCCTGCCTCTGCTTCCCGAGCCTCGCAGTGATTTGGGTTCAGTGTTCTGGGCTGTACTGGTAATAACACACCTGGTCACAGTCCAGCAATAAATGTCTGGCTGTAAATCACAGCATCGCCCATTTCACTCTGACATGCCACAGCAACTGAACCTTTACCTGTTATAAAACATTACACTGAAAAGTTAGGGATTGTGTGCCTAAAACACCAATGTAAGATAGTTTGGAAACAAAAAATGGGATGTTTGGAGAACTTGTTTGGACTCACATTTGTTTGTTGGTTTACGGAAAGCACTGTCGGGAATTGAGATTGAGGCGGAATCTCTATCAGCTTTCAAAATAAATCCATATGCCTACCTAAAGGGGATGAATTAGCTTAAAGTAACTTTAAGTTAAGTAACTTTACTTTAAATGGGCAATGCTGTGATTTACAGCCAGACATTTATTGCTGGACTGCGACCAGGTGTGTTATTACCAGTACAGTCCAGTGACTGGTGGGACCCTCCAGGTCCTGCCGATAAGCCAGATCGGGCTGTGCTGCTATCAGCAGTGAGTGCCCTGGGATAATATGGACACTCCTGGCTCGGGAACCAGGACAAGAGACCGTCCCAGAGGTCTGACTCCATTCCCACATTAGTTGCCAAGCTGCAAGTCAAGTCCATTGAGACCATGTTCTCCTGCCCTCAAGGTGGAGAAGCGATTTTACTCAGATCATTGTGGGATGTTACACAGTGCAGTAAAATGCTACAGCAGATTTATATTTCATTATTTGAACACACGGTAACGTAGAGTAAACAATTATATTCCTGTAATACACATCAGTCATCAGGAGAGATCTTACAGCATATGGTTTATCTGGTGACAATATTGTTGAGTGTTGGTCAAAGTTTTCCTTCATAAGAATGTAGGGAGAGCAACACATGTTAAAGATTATTTCATTAGAAATGGTGCTTCTCGGTCTTGCAACACTTTTACAAGCTGTTTAATGACTTACTGGAAACAAGGTGTGGTCTGTTATATCAGCTGTTGTGTCAGTGTTTCTCAACTCATCCTGAGAAATCCTTTGGTTTACGCCAAAGATGTCACCTTCGGGCCAGCTCAGCTCCAAGCAGAACCCGCTAACCTCCCACACTTAAAGCAAACACGTATTCAATGACAAATTGCTTGTGACAGTCGAGAGGTAAGGAGGAAAGTGAAGGGAGTAAAGATAAGAATACAGAAACTGGGAGCAAATTGACCTTCTTCTTGTCCCCCAACCGGTCCACCCCACCATCGACAATTGAGCCTTCATCGTCTCAACCTCCACCATCTGAAATTCTATCACACAGTCACTGCAGATCGCTGCTTTCCTTGACTGCTTCAAGACCAGTCACAAGACACTCCTCCTCTACCAAGCATGCATTCAGCCACCCTTGTATCCATACACTTACTGCCCTCAAGCCCTCCTGATCAAACCACCAGCTCGTGTCCAAAACTCTCACTGTCCAGTGCGATGGAACGTCCTCCTGACATGAAAGGAACTGGGTCAATGTAATTTGTTGTTTCAGCAACACTTCTTCATAAGCAGCCTAGTCAGAAATGGTCTCTCTTCTGATTATCTGCAGCACTGAAATGGCAGGAGAGCGGATGATTTTGGGAGGCAGTCTGCTGTCGGTCACATAAATTACCTGCACTGAGATCTCTGGCTACGCCCTCACTTTCCCTGGAATATCCTCAAACCCGCAGGGAACGCTGCACACGACTGAAGCCCAGGTTAGTGGGTGCCAAACATGTATGGATGGAGGAGGAGCTGAAGTAGGGATGGGGTCAAACCAGGAGGTGTTAAAATGCCAAACAATTATCTTGCAGGGACCGGCTTGGTACATGGGTCTGGATATGGAGCTGAGCTGGGAGGGGATGGGAGGGAAGCAGATTGGTTGCCATGGGTGTGAATGAGAGGAGAGGGGAACGGTTGACTGGCTGACCGTAGTCTGGAGCGGGAAACAAAACTTCTTCAGTTGATTTCAATACCATCTCACTCATTTTGAAATCTCTTCATACCATCGCATCTCCCAACCTCTCCTACCTGCTGTCCCCCCACTCCACCACTTAATGACACTGGCTAGATGGCTCTGGCATCTTGTTTTTCTCTCGTCCTGTCCGTTGCGCCATCAGCGGCCGTGCTTTCATCCACTAAAACAACTAATTCCGAATGTATCCTCGCCTACGGCTTTACATTGCCCTCGCTTTCACCAACTTCCGCCTAGAGATTCACTTTTTGATCACGTTTGCAACGCCACTCCCTATGCTCCAGGTTAGGAAACAGACTTCGACAATATTAAGTTGCATTTAGGAAGTGCCCTTCATGCGGGTTAGTGTCACACAGGACAGTATCCCGCATGAAGGGCGCTTTGTAAAGGCAACTTTTTCTTGCTGAGTTGCTCCATAGGATCAAGATTGAATCGGAAACCAAGATACGTCAGAAGAATACATGATACCGTTAAATAAACTGATATTTGTATTTGCAAATTGTTATTGTTTTTCGATTCCAATAAATCTGTATTATCTTCCCATGTAAACGACTGCAATCAATCTCTTTTTCTCTAACTCTATCGATCCATAGACCTGCACCCACACAGCAACGATATCGTTGTTTGACGAGAGGCTTGGCTTACGGGAACCCAGAGTATGTTTGGGGTAACACTTGGGAATTAGGCTATTTAACCAGTTCAAGTCATAGGTGCTTCCTATGCGAAGGTATTATGCAAATGTCAACTGTGTTGGAATTATAGTTAACGTCTGTCAAGCTTTCCCGCTGCGTGTCCAGCTGAGACCACACTACCAGCTCGTGAAGGCTTTGCCTCCAGGGATAACATCGCTGATTGTGAGGCAATACTCCCAATTTACTGTTCTGCTCTCCCGGGCCCTGTCGATGAGCCATGCTGGGTTGTGTTGACATCAACAGCTCCCCTTGGACACTGTGGGCGCATCTGGCTCAGGAAAAGTACTGGAGACAATCAGAGTGGTCTGGCTCGACTCTGAAATCCATTATCAAGCTCCAGATCTAGTACAGATCAGGCAATGACTGGATTGATGGGTGTGTGAAACCAGGTTGCTGTGAGTACATGGAAAGAGAGATCTGTATCGTTTAGTTGTTATGCTGGAGTTCAGGAGAGTGGCACAGCGGGCAATTGAAAATTAAGGTGGGGCGTGACAATAGATATATTGGTCTTATTGGCGAAGACGTGTCATCTGGGCCATCGTTTCTGATCGCAAAAGTGATCAACTGTACACGCTAGTGATTTTATACTGCACGTTTTGGCAGGTGGCAATATTCTTGAAAGTTGGTGAAAGGTTTCTTTGATAACTATGGAAGGAGAGCCATACAATTAAAAAAAAAATTTAACTTGAACTGGTCCTTTTCTGCATTGCAACACACTTGCAAGCTGCTTAGTGACCTACTGGAAACAAGGTGACTTCTGATATATCACCTGCTGTGTCAGTGTTTGTCAGCTCGCCCTGATTTATTGTGCATCAGCAACAGGAGGAGCTGTTCTGTGGAGCGGCCTGGATTACAACAAACATGTCACCTTGGAGCCAGTTCAGCTCTAAGCAGAACCTGCTTACCTACCAGCCTCTGTGGGCAAAGGCATAGTCAAGGGGTTGGGTGTTGTTGAAAGCCGGCAGACAGGGAGGTCGAAAGTGTAGTGTGGGCGTTGGGTGGTTGTGGAGTTGGTCAAGTGAAAGAGACAATTGAATGTTTGTGCTGAGAAAGCAAAGCAAAAATATCAGTTTACTAATATATCACTGTGGTCCCTGGTCTATTGCGGAAGGAGGGGGTAGTGTGTCGCCTGGCTGGAGGGTAGTTTTGGGTGGGGAAGGGGAGATTATGTGGATGGAGCGGGGAGAATGTGTGCGGGGAGGGGAGATTGTGAGCTGAGGGAGGAAATTGTGTGGGGTTAGGCGAGATTGTGTGAGGGGAGATTGTGTGTGGGGTGGGAGGTGATTGTGTTTGGGAATGTGGGAGATTGCCTGAGGAGTGAATGCAGAGGTGAAGGGAGAGATCATGTGGGGAGGGGATAGGGGAGGTTTTGTTACGGGAGATTGTATTTACAGCGGGGAGATTGTATGGGGGAACGGTTAATGAACATGGACGTTGAGGCAGATGTGGGAATGGGGAGATCTTCTAAAAGTTTTGATTAATCAGGAGTTATTAATCAGGAGAGTAAATGCCCAGGATGCCCCTCCTTTAGAGGGAATGTCCAAGTGTTCAGGAGAAGGATCGGGATTATTGCTCTCTGTGTCTATTCCTGGTTCTATCTTTACTGGGATTCTAATCTTCGCCCTTTGACTCTTCGCCCACATTGGACCTGTTCTTTGGTGAACTTTGGTCCATTTCTACATCAAATATTTCTATCGTCCAAATCTTGGGCGTTATTCACAATCCTGGATACTCACTTAAAGCCGTGTGAATCAGAGTGAAGTGAACACTGTCACAGGGTGGGGGACACACAGCATAAAAACACTGAGACTGAAGCAGTTTGGAACGGAAAGACTCCGGGTGATCAGGGCTTCGAGACAACATGTCCAGCGTCTGCCCGAGGAGCTAAACTGCGCCATTTGTCTGGAATTCTTTAAAGATCCTGTTTGCCTCGATTGAGGCCACACATTTTGTCGCTCCTGTATCACCCGGAGTTGGGAAAAGCAGGGAAAAAACTGCTGTGCGGAATATCGCCAAGTTATTGCTCAGAAGAATCTTAAGCTTAATCGGTCCTTGGCCAAAATGGTGGAGAAAGCTCGAGAATTTAGTCTGGACCCGACACAGACTGCGGTTAAACGTCAGTGTGAGGAACACCGGGAGGAATTGAAGCTGTTCTGCGAAACTGACAAGAAATTGATCTGTTCCATTTGCAAAGATGTGAAAAAACACCGAGGTCACAGCTTCCTTCCCATTGACGAAGCTGCTGATATCTACAAGGTAATGATGCCCTCAAGAGGGTTTAATTCTATTGCCCCGTCATATTTTCATCTCAAACTTTTATTCTTTGCGTTTATTCCAGGATCAAGTGAAATCCTCCTTAGCTTCTCTCACACAGAGGAAGGAAACTGCTCTGCAAACCGAAGCCCAACAGAGAGAAAATATTTCAAAAGTTAAGGTGAGTTGTGCCGGGGCTGAAGGCTGGGCTGTCAGAGTGTCTCTGGTCACTGTATGTAAACGGTGTGATATATCTGTGTCTCTGGTCACTGTGTGTACATGGTGTGATGTCTCAGTGTCTCTGTTTAATGTGTGTACATGGTTGGATGTCTGACATTTGCAGGAACAGGTGAACAGTTTACAGACCCACGTCACGGCTGAGTTTGCTAAAATGCACCAGAGTCTGAGTGACAGAGAGCAGCGAGTGATGCGAGATCTCAGACAGCGAGAGGAGGAGATTTTAAACCGAATGGAGAAAAATCTGCGAGAGATTCAGGGCAAATTAGATTCTGTTCAACAAGAAATCTCCGACTTACAGACGCAGATGCTAAAGGACGCTCTCACCTTCCTTCAGGTAAAGAGATGACATTTTTTGTAGTCGTACATTATAATGTATAATGTATTGTGGAACTATAGTCCAGTTAGTCTCACATCAGCGATAGGGAAAATATTAGAATCGTTGTTTAAGGATGTGGTAGTGCGATATTTAGGGGAACACAATACAATTAGGCCAAGTCAACACGGCTTTACAAAAGGGAACTCATCTTTAACAAACCTCATAAAGTTTTGGAGGACATTTCCAGTGAACTGCATAAGGGTGAATCAGTGGATGTGGTCTATTTGGACTTCCAGAACGCAATCGATAAGTTGCCGCATAAAAGGTTATTCCAAAAGATTAGGGCCCATGGAATCGGGGGGAGCATATTAACGTGGATTCTGGAATGGTTAAAGTTAAGCAAACCAAGAGGAGGGATAAACGGGTCCCTTTCGGATTGGCGGGATGTGACTAGTGGTATGCCTTAAGGATCGTCAATGGGCCTCAACTATTTACAATCTACATCAACGATCTAGATGAGGACATCGAAGTTAATATATATAAATTCGCGGATGAAACAAAACTAGGAGGAAGTGTCAACACAGGGGACGACATTAAAAAAATGCAGCGAGACATAGATAGGTTAGCTGATTGGGCAGGTAGGTGGCAGATGAAGTGTAATATGGGGAAGTGAGAAGTCATCCAACTAGGTAGCAAAATCAGTAGAGCGGCTTATTTTTTAGAAGGGGAGAGATTAGAATGTGTTCGCGTCCAGAGGGACTTGGGTGGCCTTGTACACCAATCATAGCATGTTAGTCTGCAGGTGCTGCAAGCGATTAGGAAGTCAAACGGTATGATAGCATTCATTATGAAAGGATTAGAGGATAAGAGTAGGGAAGACTTGCTGCAGCTGCAAAGGGCCCTGGTGAGACCACACCTGGTATACTGTGTCCAGTTTTGTTCTCCTCATTTAAGAAAGGACGTAATTCCCTTGGAAGGGTGCAGCTTACATTTACTAGGTTAGTGCCAGGGACGAAGGAGATGAGTTACGAGGGTAGGCTGACCAACTTGGATCTATATTCTCCAGATTATAAAAGAATTAGAAGGGATCTTACAGAAAGGGCATGAAAGAGTAGATAGTGGGAGAATGTTTCCGCTGGTTGGAGAACTAAAACCAGGGGTCAGATCCTTAAAAGCATAGGCAGACCTTTCGCAATGAGTGAGGAAGAGCTTCATCAGTCACAGGGTGGTGAATGTATCGAACTCGCTACCCAAAGGGCTATTGACACTCAGTCCTCGAACGTATTCAAGACTGAGCTATATAGATTTCATATTGCTGAAGGGATGAAGGGATGTGGGAAAAAGACATGGTCAGGTTATTAGCTGGAGGTAGATTAGAAGATCAGCTTGGTTGAATAGCGGGGCAGGTTCGAAGGGCCGAATGGCCTACTACTGCTCTTACATGTTATGTTTTGCTATGTTATGTTAGTTCAGTCACAGTTACACACAGTTTGTAGTGGACAATCTAATTGTGATCGATAAAGTGATCAATGATTTAAATTGGGATGTGAGAGACGCTGTGCAATGAGAATTTGTTGCTGTGGTTGTCTCAGTGTGAGCTGACTTCTATTTTTGTTTGATTTCATGAGGAGGAAGCTGCTGGCAACAGAAGGTAGGAAATTATCTTCACCAATTATCCCAAAATTCAGTCCAGAAACCAACCATAAGGTGGAGTTTCACTTTATAATGTGACCGTCTTTTATTTCAGGGTCAGTGACGTGGGGTTTGATCTGTCAGTGTGTGAGGCTGAGCTGCCTGTGGGGATATACAATGGGCCTATACAGTACACAACCTGGAGACACATGATACACGGCATCAGCCCAGGTAGGTGTCTCCCATTCTCATCCTGAAGACGTCTCAATAGTACTACATTCGCCAATACATATTCAACACTCCCTCAGACGCACACATACCCAGCACAAACACAAAAGCCTCACACACACACACAAACACACGCCTCACACACACACAACCCTCTCAAAAACACAACTGACATGCACAACCCTCACAGACACAACCGTCACTCACGCAACGCACACACATCCAACCCTCACACATGTCACACACACAACCCTCACACACTCGCCTCGCTCACAACTCACGCATGCACCCACACAACATACCTCAGGCACACAGATCACACACACCACTTGCACACACCTCACAAACACACACCCACACACATACCTCTATCACATATATACAACCCACACACTCACACCCCTCAAACACTCACTTCTTACACACACCTCACACACACTCATCACACACATATCTCAGACAAACACATCTCATACTATCAATCACGCACCCAACTCATACAGACCCCTCACACACACACCTCCAACAAACCACTCACAAAATAAGAATAAGAATAATCCTTGCATTTGACATTGCCCTTTTCATGTCTTCTGGACGTCTCAAAGCGTTTCATAGAATACACTGTAAAGTGAATTGATTGTACATTTTATGGGTGAAACGCGGCAGCGAATTGCACAGAGCAGCGTCCCACAAACAGTCCCATAAACAATCGTGGATTGAAGTAACCAAATTATTATTATTTTAATAAGGCCATTTGTACTTGGTCACAGGCAGCTCAGCCTCACACGAAAACAGATCAAACCCCTCCACCATACATCACAAGCAACCCTCAAGCACAAACCTCTCACATACACACTGTTTACGTTGCGCACCTCTCTCACACATCTCTTGCACACGCATCGTTCACACACACCTCTTACAAACACCACTCAAACACGCACATTTCACATACGCCAATGATACACATAACACTCAAACACAATTCACACACAAAGCTCCCTCACGCAATATTCTCACACACACCGCAAACACAAACATCACACAAACACCACCAAACACACCGTCATGCACACAACTCTCACATACACACATCTCACACACACATATCAGACACGCACCAAACACACGCATCTCACGCACACCCTCACACACACCACACACCCCTCACACACACGACTCACCCACCACCACACACATGCATCTGTGAAACACCACTCACACACACTCCACACACAAACGTTCACACACTCGCCACACACACACTCCTCTCAAGAAGAGCTCTCACACACACACAAACTTCACACACTCTCACACACACACTCCTCTCAACAACTCTCACACACACCTCACATAATCTCCTCACACACATAAGCTTACACAGGCAACCCTCATAACATTCTTCAAATGCTGCTCACATACACCTCAGACCAACATACAACTCACACACACATGGTACACACACAACTTACCTTACACCCCTCACACAGCTGACAAACAGGTTCCTCACACACATACTCCACTCAGTCACATACAATCAGACGTAAAGCTATCCTGCACACCCCACCACACACACACACTAACACAGACTGTGAACCTTTGAGCTGGATTGTTTTCCCAGGGGTAGATGTGTTCACGCACGTCGGAGCTCCCACATGTCCCTAACCCCACTTTGTCTTGTTTCTCTCTCTCAGCTCCGGCTTCTCTAACTCTGGATCCTGAAACAGCCCATCCCGACCTCATCCTGTCTGAGGACCTGACCAGCGTGAGGCACGGAGACACATGGCAGAAGATCTCTCACTCCCCGAAGATGTTTAGTAAATATGTCATTGTCCTGGGGTCTGAGGGCTTCACATCGGGGAGACATTACTGGGAGGTGCAGGTTGCTAACAAGACTGAGTGGACAGTGGGATTGGCCAGAGAGTCTGTCAAAGGAAAGGAAAGATCACAGCGTCACCAGAGGATGGATTCTGGGCAGTGTGTCTGAGTAACGGGAAGGAATATAAAGCTCTGACCTCACCTCCCACCCGCCTGCCCCTGAGAGAGAGACCCAGGAAGCTGGGAGTTTACCTGGACTATGAGGGGGACAGGTGACATTTTACAACGCTGATAACATGTCTCATCTACACACTTTCACCCAGCGTTTCACTGACAATCTTTATCCTTTCTTCAATCCGAGTCTGAATTATGGAGGTAAAAACTGTGACCCTCTGAGAATCTGCCGGGTGACAGACTAATGAGGAAGAAACACCGAACCAAGTCCTGTGTTTGTCTGTGATGGCCACCAGTCTGAACCTTTTATAATCTCTGTCGTGATACAATACATTTTGCAATTTATATAACATCTATCACACTGGGCCCACGGCTCAAACGTTTCTCGCGATCGATTGTCAAGGGACTGTTGTGTCTGTGAGCGAATGCGGAGCAAATTTGAACAAAGTAAAGTCTGCATAAGTCACGTTTCACTCATAAACATCAGGCTGGAGCTTTCAGCTCCTGATCTCGACAATAATAATCCTCACACTGCACATGTGGGCGCACCTGGTCAGGAAACAGTACTGGAGACAATCAGAGTGGTCTGGCTCGACCTCGAATCCATTATCAAGCTCCAGATACTAGTATAGATCAGGCAATGACTGGATTGATGGGTGTGTGAAACAGTTGGCTGTGAGTACATGGACAGAGAATCTGATCATTTGCTTAGTTGTAGCTGGAGTTCAGGAGAGTGGCACAGCGGGCAATTGAAAATTAAGGTGGGGTTGTGACAATAGATATATTGGTCTTATTGGCGTAAGACGTGATATCTGGGCCATCGGTTCTGATCGCAAAAGTGATCAACTGTACATACCGCTAGTGATTTATACTGCATGTTTTAGGCAGGTGGCAATATTCTTGAAAGTTGGTCAAAGGTTCTTTGATAACGTATGGAAGGAGAGTCCATACAATTAAAAAAATATTTAACTTGAACTGGTCCTTTTCGTTGATTGCAACACACTCAAGCTGCTTAGTGACTCTACTGGAAACAAGGTGACTTCTGGTATATCAGCCTGCTGTGTCAGTGTTTGCAGCTCGCCCTGATTTATTGTGCATCAGCAAGGAGGAGCTGTTCTGTGGAGCTGCCTGGTTAGCAAACAAATGTCACCTTGGAGCCAGTTCAGCTCAAGCAGAACCAGCTTACCTCACCACCTCTGTGGGCAAAGGCACATTCAAACGGTTGGGTGTGAAGCGGCAGAGGGAGGTGAAAGTGAGGATGTGGGCGTATGGGCTGGAGAATTGGCAGTGAAAGTCCCAGACAATCTGGAAATGTGTCTTGTAGACTGAGAAAGGGAGGGGAGTGCAGAAAATCAGTTATAAGTAGGTATCAAAGTGTGGGTCGGGGATTGCTATGGGAGTGGGGGTGGTAAGTGTGAAAAATCGATGTAGTAGAGCAGTAAGATAATATATTTTACTCTGTGCTGGATGCGGAAGGGAGATTTGTGGGTAATGAGAGCGAGGGGCAGATATTGTGTGCGGGGAGGGGAGATTGTGGTGAGGGAAATTGTGTGTTCGGATGGGAGGAGATTGTTGGGTGATTGTGTGGAAGGGGAGTGGGAGAGTGTGATAGGGTTGATAGGGAGTGGTACGGAGATTGGTACCGGGATTGTAGGACGGTGAACAGATGTGAGGTGTGGGAATGGGGAGATCTTCTAAAAGTTTTGATTAATCAGAAGTTATTAATCAGGAGAGTAAAGGACCAGGAGGTCCCTTCTTGAAAGGGAATTTCCAAGTGTTCAGGAGAGGAATCAGGTTTATTGCTCTCTGTGTCTATTCCTTGTTTCATATTTACTGCGATTCTTATCTCCTCCCTTTGTATACTCATCCGCATTTGAGCTGTTCTTTGGTGAACTTTGGTCCATTTCCACATCACGAATTCCCTTCCTCCAAATCCTGGGCGTTACTAACAATCCTGACTCCACAGGTGAAGCTGTGTGAATCAGAGTGGAGTGAACGCTGTCACAGGGCGGGCACACACAGCATAAAACACTGAGCTGAACAGTTCTGGACACGGAAAGACTTTCCGGGTAGACAGGCTTCTGAGACATACAGTGTCCAGCGTCTGACCGAGGAGCAAACTGCGCCATTTGTCTGGAATTCTTTAAAGATCCTGTTATCCTGGACTTGAGCCACACTTTGTCGCCGTATCACTCGGAGTTGGGAAAAGCAGGAGGAGAAAACTCGCTGTGCGGAATGTCGCCAAGTTACTTGCTCAGAGGAAATCTAAGTTAATGGGTCCTTGGCCATTAAGTGGAGAAAGCTCGTAGAATTATATCTGGACCCACACAGACTTGCATTAGAACCTCAGTGTGAGAGAACACCGGGAGGAATGAAGCTGTTCTGCGAAACTGAAAGAAATTGATCTGTGTCAGTTTGCAATAGGCAGGAACAAACACCGAGGTCACGCTTGCCTGCCATTGACGAAGCTGCTGAATATCTACAAGGTAGCGGATATGCACCTCACGAGGGATTGTTTCTATTCCACTCTCATATTTTCACCTCAAACATTTCATTCTTTGCGTTTATTCCAGGATCAAGCTGAAATCCTCCTTAGCTTCTCTCACACAGAGGAAGGAAACTGCTCTGCAGAACGAAGCCGAACAGAGAGAAAAGTATTTCACAAAGTTAAGGTGAGTTGTGCGGGGCTGAGGCTGGGCTGTCAGGGTCTCTGGTCCTGTATACGGTGTGATTATTGTGTCTCTGACTGGTGTACATGTTGATGTCTCAGTGTTCTCTGGTTATGTGTGTGATGGTTGGATTCTGACATTTGCAGGAACAGTGCAAACAGTCTTACAGACTCACGTCACGGCTGAGTTTGTCTAAAATGCACCAGAGCTGACTGACAGAGAGCAGCGAGTGATGCAGATCTCAGACAGCGAGAGGAGGAGATTTTAAAACGAATGGAGAAAATCTGCGAGAGATTCAGTGGCAAACTTGATTCTGTTCAACAACGAATCTCCGACTTACAGTACGCAGATTAGAAAAGGACGCTCTCCCTTCCTTCGGTAAAGAGATGACATTATAATGTAGTTCATTAACAGTTACACAGATTCTGGGGAAGACAATCTAATTGTGATTGATGAAGAAATCAGAGATCGAATTGGGACGTGAGAGACGTTGTACACATGTATTTTTTTGTCGGTGGTGGTGACTCAGTGTGAGCTGACATCTGTCTGTGTTTGATTTCATGAGGAAGAAGCTGCTGCCAACAGAAGGTATGAAATGATCTTTACCAAATATCCCAGAATTCAACCGACAAACCAACCACAAGGTGCAGTTTCACTTTACAATGTGATCTTGTCTTATTTCAGGGTCAGTGACGAGAGGTTTGATCTGTCAGTGTGTGAGGCTGAGCTCCCTGTGGCCAAGTACAAATGGCCTTTGAAGAACACAGTCTGGAGACAGATTATAGACAACATCAGCCCAGGTAAATATCTCCCAATCTCACTCTTATGCCGTGTCATTAGCCTGACATTCACCTGGATCTCAAAGCGTAATCCCTCTTCCTGCACACGCACCTCCCCCCCACCCCCCCCCCACACACACACACAAACACACCCTTCAGGCACACGAGCCTCACAAACACACACACTCAGACACACACACCGTAACACACTCACACAGTTCTCGCACACAACTCACACACGCACAACCTCCCACACACACTCTCACGCACACCCTCACAAAAACACCACACACACACACCACACACACACAACTCTTTCACAGACTTTACACACATCTCAAGTATACACTCCTCACACACACAGTCCTCAAACACACCACTCACACACACCGCTATGACACGACTCACATGCAAGCACACTCACACACACCTCTTACACAACCCGTGGAGTCCTTTAGCACAGTGGTTGAAGCATTCACCTTGCAAGCGAGACACTTGGATTCAATGCGGTGTCGGGCGAAACATTGGGAAAATTTCCTT